CTTTTGTAACACTATAAATGTTAGTGTATTACTGTCACTATTGCACAATTTAAAGCATCCTTGAAAAGTGCAAACATTTAGTAGTATTAAATATTAAATAGCAACCCAAAATGTAGGTTAATTGTATTAAAGTTCTTTCAAAAAACAATCAAACAACCAAACCCCCCCACACACACACACACAGAAAATCCCCCAAAACTTTTGAACAGTGGTGTATTAAATATAATAAGCTGATTTCGTTTGTGATCAGTAAAATCACTAAAGCAGGACGAGACTTTTTATCCATGATGTTTTCATGAGGTTTTTCATGAAGTATTTTTAGTGCAGTCCCACCCTTTCCAGCTAAGAGCAGATAATACATTTTTCACAGAACACTGGTGCTTATTACGATGTAACTTGTGGATTCTGATAATGCCAGTCAATTGTTACAGAGCTAGAGGTTAAATTGGATTCCTTAATATTTGTTCATTTTATTCAGTCTTTTCACAATGTGAAGCCAAGACACCCGCTAGCCCATCTAGTGTTTGGAACTGCTCGGCTGCTATTTGAAACCTCCATCTGCTGTTCCTCTTTTATCTGAGACTCTTCAGCTCCACCTAAAAGAACAATAGCATTCTCAGAGTAGCGTGCCTTGTCATGCTGTAGCGTTGGCTTCTATGGGTTTAGCCTTTTGCTCAAAATATTTGAGCTTAAAGCATAATGCACCCTTGTAAATCTTTTGCTTGAAAAGAACATTATTGTAATGCAAAAAAAACCCAACTTTAGTTGAGAAGTCACCAAATGAATTCATTGTTCTTTTGTAGCTGCTGCTCCAGCATCATTTGAAGGGCCTTATGGACGGATTATATACAGAGTTCGGGCTTTCATAGAGACTCCTCGTTTTGCAAAAGACTACAAGATAGAGAAGCCATTCTCTATGTTGTACACAGTCAACCTGAATGAAGTACCTGGTATACAGGTATGTGTGCAACACAGACCTCCAAAGAAAACAACCACAAATTTGACTACTTGTATCGTATGCTACACGATTCATGCTCTGTTATTTAGTGCCAGTGATTTACATTACTATTTGCTTTGTGCAGGAACCTAGCTCATCTTCTGTAACCAAGAATTTCTCATACATGCTTGTGAAGAATGGGACAGTGGTGCTAAATGCTGAGAGTGACATGCGAGGATATATCGCTGGACAGATCATTAAAGTGTCCGCTGAGATTGAAAACAAATCTGAGAAGTCAACAGGCCATGTGGTTGCCAGTCTAATGCAGGTAAGATGACACTAACTACTTGTTGATTGTGTTGTGCTGTCGTAGACTGCAAGTGATCTGGATTATGAATCCTATTATAATAATAAACAAGGCAAAAATATATTTAAACACTCTTCTGCATTCGAATATATTTCACACTAAATGTTTTCAATGAGCTCAATAATTAAATATAGTGTGTAAAAGCAGTGCTCAGTATTATTACAGGGGGATACAATATTGTTCAAGTGTTTGGGGTGGGGTCAGTTTTTTTAAAAAGAAATTAGTACTTTTATTCAACATAGATGCATTAAAGCTCCAGTCCGTAACTTTTTTAAGTTAAAAATAATCTAATATAATTATATTAAAAAAAACTTATTCTGCCAGTGGTCAAAACTATCTGCTTGCCATAGCTAGATTCAAAACGGTTAGCTTGTAATAATGATTTTAATTCCAGTGGTACTGGTGGGTTTCCGCGGGAAATTCGAGCATGTCTTTGCGTCATTACGTCACACCCGTACACATAAAGGAGTTTCGTCTAGCCGGCTATACTGCGCGTGACGAGATGTTTAGATGTATAGGCTTTTCTCTCAGCACTTTACATTATTAAACTTATGGCATCCAGGAAGATCCAAACAACAATCATCAGTGTCAACTGGAGATTCAGCAGTTATAAAACCCAAAAGACTTCGTACTTCGGATTTAAGGTGGCTAGAGAAAGAGAAAGAAACCGTCTCATGCGAACACAAGGATTTAACATCGGCGGGGCTTTTGAAAAGTGCGTGAACTCCGTGTTTAGAAGGGGTTCAAAACGGAAGAAGAGACGGCTTTTCTCTGCTGAACAAGTAAGTTAAGACATTTCAATAGTTCAATCGTGTAACAGTACGTTTTCTTAATTCACACAGTTATGGAGTTTCCTTTGTTGTGCCTTTCTCGTTTTGCTATTATGGAGAATATGAATTCTGAACTACACAGGTAACCATAAAACACATTAAATTTAACATTAGTCACGCAATGCTGATGTGATGTTGTTAACATGAACAATTTGAGAACAAAGTAGGCTATAATTTGCACGGTTGCTGTAAATCGCGTTGATTAAATCTAACGAAGCTTATCATGTCGAATGCTTTTTCCCCCTTAGTTGGTCAGAACAAAAATGGATGTTACTTGTTCAGAAGACATTTTCTTATGAAAATTCTTATGTTGGTCAAACTTTCAAAAAGTGAATCTGTGATTCTGTATGACAGTATCCACACAGCGCGGTGACTGACAGCAGCACTCGCCTCAAAGCACTGTGTTCATCCGCGCTGTTTCATGCCGATTTACAACCCACGTAAAGATGATAATTCCGCGAATCACTGCAGTTACAGATTTCGAACTGAGAGATGGCGACAAAGAGGAAAAGTTACGGACTGGAGCTTTAAATTTATTAAAACTAACAGTAAAAAATTTTGCACTGTAAAAAAATTCTGTTATTTTGAACTTCTCTTGATCAAAAATCCTAAATATTAAGCAGCACAACTGTTTTCAACATTGATAATGAAAATGTTTATTGATATTAGAATGATTTCTGAAGGACCATGTGACACTGAGGACTGAGTTATGGCTGCTAAAAGTGAAGCTTTGCCATCTCAAAAATAAATGACTTTATACAAAAAAAATCTTGTTCTGTATTTTTGATAAAATATGTGCGGCCTTGGTGAGTAGTACTAGTGATTCAGAAACATTAAAAAATTGTATCCCATACTTTTTAAATTTAATTTACGTTTCTACAATGATTGGTTGATAAACCAAGGGAGGCTAGCTTCCTCTGCTGTGTATTTTTTTACTCAACTCTCTTAACTGCTGAAAGTGAAATGGGGATTGGCTATGGAAATGCCTCCCATCTCCTTCTCTTTCCACTCAGGCTATGTTCACTTTTTTGCGTTTTTAAGCCCCAAAAACGCCGTCGCCGTGTAAACGAAAGGCACATCTGATAAAATATTTTTACGTTTTCACCCGCGAGCGTTCTCGTGTAAACAGGGCCACTCACCTTAGCAGTTTTCCGAACGGCAGATTCAGCACGTTCGGTGAAGTTCACCAAAGCACGTTGGTGGTTCTGACTTCAGTTTATGGTGTTATAATGGTGAAATTGCAAACAAGAAATGTACTTTCTGAGACATGAAATTATATGAATGACTGGGAATTTGAAATTAACATTAAATCGTCCTTCTCCCATTTTCCACCTCACAATTTTGGGTAGGCTGTGCCTCCCTTGCCTCCTCTGATGTGCCACCACAGATTAGATGTTGACTGATATGGGTTTATCAATGGTTGTGGTTGAATATGCAGTTACATCTGTGGTCAGTATCATGATATGATAGTATATTGCTCATCTTTTCATTTCAGAAAGTGACGTATAATACCAAGAAGCCGACATATGACTTGCGGACAGTAGCGGAGGTTGAAGGACCTGGAGTTAAGGGTGGAAATAAAACTGTATGGAAAGAGCAGATAATTGTGCCAACTCTTCATCAGTCCTCCCTGACTGATGGAAACCTCATCCATATCTGCTACTACATTCAGGTGAGTTTTTGTTATGCATATTACGTTAACATAACGTAATGTAATGTAAGGCAAGTCCTGTAAGTGTTTTGCTCCATTGGTGAGGTGAACATAATCACTGGCAACATGCATATCAGAGAGATGCATCTTATCAAATGTTCATGCAAAATACATTTGGTATTTCCTGCTTCCTTCCTCTCAATGAATGTCATTTGCATGTTTGCTTCTGCTTTTTCAGGTCTATTTGAAATACCCAGAAGTGTCATTAACTCTGCCCATTTACATTGGAAATGTCGCAGTGGATCCCACTCTGCCTTCCTCCTCCCGGCCGGTTCCACCCATGCCAGCCCCACGCAACAACCCTGCCCCTGTCCCTTCTCCCGCTGAAACAGCCCTTCCCAGTCTGCCACCACGCACAGCCCCAAAACCTGCACCCAAGCCTAGGCCTCGTAGCTGCTACGTAGCGTCCCCCAGTGCGCCTCCAGCGGATCTGTACCCTGAACTCCCAGGTGTGGCTAACTACAACGGGGAATTGACAAAGAGTCCACAGTTAGAGTCAGGTTCCCAGGCTGCAGTGTCCCCTAATGCATTCAGCTACGCTCCTGGACTCAGCTTCAGAAAGAGACAGAACGGCCTATCAGCACTGCCATTGAGTTCATCCTCCAGCCCTCAAGACACAAACAGGAATCAAATGTCCTCTTCAGCAAGCTTGCCTCCAAACTATAGTAGTTCAGCATATCCACATGGTATGGGATAATCATTGCATTGAAACATTTGAATAGTTGTATTTTTATTAGTTATATGATGTGATTCAGTCTTTGGATCAAGTCATATAAAATCTCAATGTGAAACAGGTCTTAGTTTTGCATTTTAATATTTAAAATGTAGAATTTCTATTATTATTATTATTATTATATTTCATTGATCATTCAATGTTACCTGATGATTAATTAGATTTTTTTTTTTTTTTTTTGACAGAACCTCCACCTTCTTATGACGATAGCTTCAATACATAGGATGTTACCCAACCAAAGGAAGAAGGGAGAAAAACATTGAACATTCATAACAATCCTGTGACTTCATAATAAATGCAGACCTCAAGCACCTTTGAACCAAATGTGTAAATATACAAGTTCTGATATTAAACCTGGTGTAATACTTCAGATGTGGTTTAGCAGCTATAATGCCAAACAGTTGGACAATTTTCTTTTCAATTTTGTCATTGGAAATTAGATCTGCCTCTTGCAAAAGTTATTTTACATTTTTTTTAGGAGTTTTATCATGGAAGAGTATTAAGTACTCTTTTACTATTAGACTATCCCTTGTTTTGGACATGCTTGCAATCACACATCCTCCAAGGTATATTTGCTTTTATTAGTATGTTCAGGCTTTGTTTTACTACAGAAGGATCCAGTTCTCATTGAAATTGTAACTTCATATAGACCATGTTTGGATTCACTAATCATCCTCATTATACGAGACTACTGAACATATTAAAGTTCTGTGGTATTTAATTATTCTTTTCTGACTTTGATAGTATTTTCCCCTCAAGACAATTTTATTGCACACTACTTGATTGTTAAAAAGTTTTTGTATTTAAGCATTGATTTGCATTTATATGTAGTGTACAGATTAATAAAATTCTTTTTAAAATCAATGACATGCAAATTTGAGTTGAATTGCAATAACTGAAATAACAAACAAACAAACATGTAGGCTACTTCTAAATAGAATGGGAATGAATCAATGACGTTACTTGTGACATTGATATAAATCTTTGATAGGCTTCATTTAAAATTGAGCCTACAGGTGGTGATTGAAGATCAGTGACAAAGTTAAAGCAACAGGATGGTAGACCTTGCTAAGTAACAATAGGAGTGTTTTAAGCTGTCAGGTGTACCATAAAGCAAATAGGAGAAATTATACAGTTCAGCTTTAAGGTGATTACTGCTGTGCATCGGAGATGTGCATGTTAGTATACTCTAACTTTCAGGGTGTTTTACTTTAATTTCTAAAGGTAATTCTTTGGACTCGATTTGTTGAGGTTCCCCACACACAAAAAATGTAAATGAAAAAAAAAATGTTTTATTTTTTATTTTTTTTGTTGTGTGATTTACGTGTGAAACGTGAATCAATCGTAAATAAATGTTTTTTTTTTTTGTTTTTTTTTTTTTTATACGTGAATCTTAAATAAAGTGATAAATAGTGGCAGAAAATAATACTATCTTTTTTGTAACTGAGAAGTTGTTCCTCGAGTGTAACATGTTGGGTTAAACCTGTTTTTGTACTCCCCAACCAAATCCTCAACCTCTCACCTTACCAGTAGAGGGCGCTGTGTGGTCACATGACAGTCGCAGGGCGCATGTAGCAGGGAAGTAAAGAGAGGAAGGCAAACCTCTAAACTTTCGGAATGAACCTTATTGCACGAAAATGCTAACCATCATAAGTTAACGGGTAAGTATAAGCAAAGCTGTTATTTTGAGGATAAATGTCCCTAGACCGACGTTGTTGTATTTATAGGTGCATGCGTGTTTTCTTGTAGAATTTTGCTGTTGTGGCTGATGTCATGCGCGTGTTATGTTAGCTACATTGTTTCATGTTGTTTATCCCACTGTGAGCGCGCTACATCCGACATAAACATTAACAAATGTTGTTATATTTCTCAGTTAATAAGACGCATTAAATCACGAGGATGATAGTGGGCTGCCATGTCTCTTCAGCAATGCAAAGAAAGGAAGATTTAGCGTTTTAATTTAGAGGGCCAAATATACAGATTTGTTGGCGTTCCCAAAATCTGGTGAGATGTAATCAGACAGCATTTGATGGCCAAAATGCTCTAGCTTACTAGATTTTGAAACGCAGCCCTTTAGAGATCGATAATTACCTAAAATATAATTTTTGTTTAAATATAACTATCTAGAACCGTAATTGCTCTTTTTATGCCTTTTTACGTAACAATACATTTTACATTAGACTGTAAACATACAATATAATTTGCATATATATATATATATATATATATATATATATATATATATATATATATATATATATATATATATATATATATATATATATATGTATGTATGTGTGTGTGTGTATATTTATATTAAATAACTGGCTAATATAGACATTGTGAAAATCAAAAAGTATTGATCAGATACATTTTTGCTCTATTTTAAATTATAACACTGTAAATTCTCATATAGAGGAAGGAACTTGGAGGTGGTCTTGGATTGCTCCAGGTTCCCTCTGCCATGGCCAAGTCCAAGAAAGGTGAGTTAATTGATTTCAAGGTTATTCATGCTATTGCTTCTAAATAATTACATTCCCGTCGTTATGCTTCAGTTAATGTATTCCATAACACCACGGTGTCTGGTATTCTTCTTCAGATTTGATTCACTTATCAAGTAAAAAAAACAAAAAAAAACACATTGTGTTTACATACCTTAGTTTTTTTTATATTTCATCACGGTATGGTTTTAGGTATGGAAAACCCTGCGAATCCACCAAAAAGAGGCAGGAAGCCTAAATCCCTCGGAGCTGCTCCAAAAGCTGGTAAACAACAGAGCTCTCCAGGCAACAGGAAGAGCACAGGGCCCAGCTTTCAGCTTCACTCTAGCCAGACACCCCATAAGCCACCAGCTGAAAACATCATGTCAGGAAATCATGACTCTATCCAGCAAGATAAACAAGATGCTCCAGAAACACAGAGTTCTGAGTCTGGTAATGCTGCCAAGATCATCCCTACTTTGTTCTTACCTGCAGCCAGACACGAAGGGGATGCTCAGAGAGAGCCGGAGGAGCTTAAAGCTGTGAATCCTGCTCCTCCACGTTTGGCTTGGAAAACGATGGTTAGACCAGCACCAGCTCCATCTGCTCTGAAGGTAGCCTGCTGTTTGCTTGCTTATGTTATTTACTTTTTAGTTGCATGCAGGCATCTTAGTAATAAATGTGAAAGGTGCATTAAAACATGATTATTGATTATCTCCAAAAAGTGTGGGGGACGAACAGACATTTCGGAATGTGGTTGAAGATTTGTACTGGTGGGTTGTAAAATGAATGGGGCCCGGGACAAGAAAAAAATTAATGGGTGGACCCTCTGATCCGAATGAATAGGTTAAATGAGTACCTTAGTGAGCCCCCCCTCATCAACCCCTGATAGTAATGAAAACAAAACCCAAAACACATTTTTTCAGGATTCTTTCATGATTAGAAAGTTCAAAAGAACAGAATTTATTTAAAATGGAACTCTTTTGTGACAAATATCTTTACTGTCACTTTGGACCAATCTAATGCATCATAAAAGTATTAATTTCTTTAAAAAAAATCGTTCTGCCCCAAAAGTTGATTTAAAAAAGACATATACATATTATATGTCTGTCTGTTTTTGTTAATGCAACAACGTGCAAAGACAATGAACAGAGTGAAAAGCGTGAACGAGAGAGACGTGGAGTCTTCACCCACACAGCATCTCCTTTTACCTCAGGAACTAAAAGACTCAACACAAACAGGTAGGGTTTTTTAGCTAAAAAGCTAAGCTGAATTAAATTTAGAACACACGAGAGTAAAACAAATGGCATGCTCCTTTGTTTGTATCCTTCTGCAGCCTCCAAGAAGAAGAAAAGAAAAATGGGCTTATATAATTTTGTTCCCAAAAAGAAACCGAAAGTGTCCAAGAAACAGAATGTCTCGTTGTCCTCCTCAAATGCGCAGGTCTGATATCTTGCACATTAGAGACTACTCCCATGTGTGTGAAATTGAGTCATCCATCTCAGTTAAATCTGAACATTTAAGATCTTTGTTTCCCTGCAGGAATCCTCACATATAGCAGGATCCAAAGGTGGGCAGATGTCCATTGAGGAGGCATTCAACAATACAGTTAGGCCTGAAAAACCAGAGAAGCAAACTTCAAGGGATGAGAAAGGAAATGTAGCAGAACTGCACAAGAACAAGGAATCGGAGGGCGTTCCACAAGGCCATGCTGAAGAATACACAGAGCTGCCTCTACATACTCTTGCTCATGATAGCATGTTCACGGCAATTCCCACAGGTAGAGGATTTCTGCTTGCTTACTTTTTATGTATCTCATGCTGCCACCTCATGAAATGCATATACTTCCTGTCTGTTTGTTTTCATCTGATAGGTTGATCTCAGAATGAGCAGAGACAGGTTTCAGACAGAGCATTCTGACTTTGTGAGGCAGTAAGACCACATGGCAACATACATGCAGACTCTTGTGTAAAAATAAACAACCTTTTTGTTGCACATTCGCTTAATCTAATATTAGATCATGGAAAGAAATAGTGTGAGAAGGAAGAGTATAGTGCATAGGGTGTTCTAGTAGCCAAACAGTAAAAGATCTACTTTCAAGTTCTTAAACCCAGTTATTTATACTTAAATTGAACAGTGCAGGTGGTTTTTGTGTTTATCAGGTTTGCCGGAGGATAAAGAGAACATGGAGGCTGATGACCTGTTGGAACCCCCACTGTGTAGCTGTCGCATGGAGACACCGAAGAACCCGGATGTAGTAACTCTGGCTGAGGGCAAGTGCATGGCTGTAGAGAGTGTGGATGGAAAGGTAGAGCATGCTTCATCTCTTTTATTTTCCATCTGTGAAAGGTTGCAAAATGAACTCATTGGCTACAAATATTGGCTGATAAATATAGTGGCGTTCACACACTTGTGTGAAAATAACTAGCATATTGCAATGTCTTTGTGATAGCATTGTACTAATGTCTTTGATTGACTGAATGTTTAATAGATTTCAAGAAAGTGGACATTAACTGGATTTTTGAGTGAATATGATTTGCTGTCTCTCTCTAGCTGAGTTTATGTCGGAAGGTGATTCTGAAGCAGGAAATGATGCGTCCCTCTCTGAGGATTCCATTGCTCGTGCTGTGCGAGGATCATCGTGCGGGCATGGTGAAACACCAGAGCTGCCCAGGCTGTGGTTTCTTCTGCAGGGCTGTGAGTAAAAAAGTCAAAAGTTGGTTTTGAAAGATGCCTCTTACTGTCACAATGTCTGCATTTAAAAAAATAAATAAAAATACAATAAAAACAGGAATATTGTAAAAATATTATTACAGTTTTAAATTACATTAACTTTTAAATATATGTCAAAAGGTAATTTACTCCTGTGATGGCAAAGCTGAATTTTTAGCAGCCATTACTCCAGTCTTCAGTGTCACATGATCCTTCAGAAATCATTCTAAAGGCCAATTC